AGAATCCCACAGGTTCCCCACTCTCTGGGTGAAGACATTTCTCCCCATCTCAGTCCATAATGGCCTGCCCCGTAATCCTTAGGCTGTGACTCCCTGGTTCTGGACTCCCCGGGTCATCGGGAACATCCTTCCTGCGTTGACCCTGCCTGGTCCTGGTGTGGGATTAAATGGTGGGGCTTTGTTCTTTCAGAAATGGAAGTGCAGATGAAGTAGACCTGGCAATGTTCTGTCATGTCTCCACTGAATGTTATGTGACTCACAACCCAGAGGGCTCCCCCAGGCACAGGGTTAAATTCTCACCGAGAAATCTGATGGAATTTAAACTCCGTTTAGTAAATGGGGAGTTGAAAGGCGGTCCCAGTGATGGTGACCATGGTGACCGACATCGGCTGTCATCAAAACCCCATCAGGGCTCACGGATACCCCTGTTAGAGAAGGGAAATCTGCCATCTTTCCCCAACCTGGCCCTACACGTAACTCCAGGCGTGTTTGACTCTTTATCTCTCCTCTGGATTGGCTGTAGTGTGGGAATCAGATGGACAGCACAGATTCAAGATGGCAGATCACCAAGCTGTTGCCAAGGGACACTGACTGATGTGCAATGAATGCTGGGCCTGGCCAGTGTCACTCACATCCCAAAAAAGACTTTGAACTGATGATATTGTCGATGGACTGGATACAGGCCTGACTAATTCACAACCCCTTTTTGTTTTCTCCAGGGATACAGGCAGGGGATCATTCGTCCCAGGTTTGGTCAATGTTCCTCCACCAGACTGACCCACGTGGTATTGATTGTGGGCTACGGTTATTGTAAGTCATACATTTGCACTTCTCGAATCAGACACCTTCAATCCCATTGCTTCTTCAAATCACAACTGTAAAATAAAAATCACATCTCAATTCAAAATGTCGCTTTTCCTGTTCCTCTGATGCTGCCTGGCCTGCTGTGTTCATCCAGCTCCACACTGTGTTACATCTCAATTCAGGGGCTTTTAACAACTTGAAAACAGGAAACTGCACAAGTGCAAACAAGAGAATATTTATGGGCTACCTTACACATACTGACCGTCCGACAGTGCCCCCTCCCTCAGCACTGACCCTCC